TCACCCCTTCACCACAAAAAAATTCACAGGCTCACCCCCTCACCCCTTCACAGGCTCACCCCCTCACCACTGCCTCACTCCCTCACCCCTTCACAGGCTCTCCCCCTCACCCCTTCACAGGCTTGCCCCCTCACCCCCTCACCCCTTCACAGGCTCACCCCCTCACAGGCTCACCTCCTCACCCCTTCACAGGCTCACCCCCTCACCACCGCCTCACCCCCTCACCCCTTCACAGGCTCACCCCTTCACAGGCTCACCCCCTCACCACCTCACCTCCTCACCACCACCTCACGCCCTCATGCCCTCATGCCCTCACCTCACCACCTCACCATCTTACCTCCTCGCCACCACCTCACGCCCTCACCACCTGACCTCCTCACCACCTCCAGGGAACCGCTGCCTGCCTCACCACACTCGCCAGCAGCAGCCAGGACAGGTCATTCCTCCAGGGCTGCTTGTACTGAATGGAAGTCGAGGGTCGAAGGCGTGAGGCAGACGGGGGCCCTCCCAAGACGAACTCTGCATGTCTGGAGATAGTAACCAACTTGGTCTTCGAAAGCCCTGCTTCTATGTGTAGGTAATATGGTGAGTGAGCAAGAGGGAAACTGACGTCACAGGCTGTGACGTCACTGGGTAAAACAGTGTCACTGCAGAGGTGGTGATGTCACCGCATAACGATGCCACTGCTGAGGCGGTAAAGTCACCATGTAATAAGAATCCACTGCAGGGGTGGTGACGTCACCGTGTAACACAGTGCCACTGCAGAGGGGGTGATGTCACCGTGTAACACAGTGCCACTGCAGAGGGGGTGATGTCACCTCATCACAGGATGCCACTACAGAGGGGGTGACGTCACAGCACAACACGATACCGCTGCAGAGGGGTGATGTCACCGTGTAACACGATGTCACTACATTCTTCTTTATGTGTTATTTTCCATTTCCACAATGGTTAGAAACGTACATCATTAATGTCGGTCTTATGGGTGACAGCTCACATTCGTTGCTCAGCATCCCATCTCAAATAACTGCACAGTGACTTTTGTTTTCACTCAAATTTTTTGTCTTTATTTTTATTTGACTTGAGAAGCAGGGAGACATACAGAGATCTTCCATCTGCTGGTCACTCCTCAAATGCTGCAACGGCAAGGGCTGGGCCAGGCTGGAGCCAGGAGCCAGGAACATAATTTAGATCTTCCACAGGGGTGGCAGGAACTGAACTCCCTGAGCTACCACCGCTGCCTTCCAGCTCTGCATTGGCACCCCAGGTAGTGTCTTGGAGTGCAGCAGCACTGTGACATGGGAGCCAGGCACCCCCCCCCCAGCTGCTGGCCCATAAGCCCACCCCGTTCCCCCTCTTAAAGGAATATCTGCACAGCAATTTCTGTTCACAGGTTTCTCTTGTAGCAAGAAAGGGCCACTTGTGGTCACTAAAGTATTTTTCCCATCACCTCCCAAATGTTGGCCTGGGTTTGGAATTCACTTTCCCTATCAGGCACATGGGGTAGAGAAATTCCTCAGATGTGTCCACTGACGATAAACAGGCCAGCCCGGGAGCGTGGCGCTCTGCCAGTCACGCTGACACCTCTGTCCTACCACACAGCAAGTGGCACGTTCTGACCCTCAGCACCGCGCTCCCCTCACAAAGGAGCCAAGGACGCCCACCTGTGAGGGGAGCAGGGAAGACGCAGCAAAGACCTCCCTGGGAGGCTCCCCTACATGGATGCAAATAAAGCAAATCAAAAGGAATCAAAAAACCAAGCGTGTTCCTGCTAAATTAGACTTTTAAATACGCTACTGATATCAGAGGAGTTTTAGTGCAATTGTCTCCTTAAATTTGGCAGGGAAATCATTAATCATTTGATGTTAAATTTATACAGATTGTTGGATATATGAGTGGCACCGAGGTTACATGGCAGTGAGCCAGAAGGGAGAGAGAGAGAGACAACAGTGGCCATATGCCCTTCAAGGGACACTCACAACATGGGTGGGGCCACCCTGCTTATTTCTAGTTTGCTCCTGGGACTCTTGCTTACCTCAGTCACAAGTAGGAGCTTAAGCATCTAGCCAGGAACGAAGATAGAAAGTGATTCCAGTACCAGGCAGATTTTCACAGCCGCCAGCCCAGGGCGGACGCCAGGGTTATATAACTACAGACGCAGCTGTTGATGGAGCAGTCTCCAGTTGTCCCCAGGTCATGGGTCCTGTGGTCCCGATGCAGCAAAGCATCCTGGGGACATGGAGGTCCTGCTCTGATAAGGCTGTATAAGTGCCATGTGACCACTGCCCCGGCCATGGTCCTTCCTGCCTCCTGGCATGGCCACACTGAACTCTGTCCTCTCCTGCTGCTGGGCCCAACAGCAGCACCAGAGAGAATGACCAGCCAGGCTCAGGAAGCCAAAGAAAAAGAAAGCCACAGAGAAAAGGGGCCCCGAAACACGCTCACTTTACTCAGCATTTTTGCATTGGTGATCTTAAGCTCTTGGGATCACCACTGTAAACCTAGAGACCAGATCCTGGGCCTGCCGCCCCTAGTGACTCAGCCTTGCCATCCCATCGTCCAGATGTCCCAGCAGCACTTGGTCAGTCGTCCACCTGGTTCTCAGCACACGTGTGTGCATCAGGTCGAGACACCACTGGAGACGCCAGATTTGGTCCCTGCCAACCCTACAGAAGAGGCCAGACATGGTCCCTGCCATCCAACCCCACACCCTCCCCATCAGCTCCTCTCTAGCCAGGGCCGCCGATGTTCCCTTCTCAGGTGATGTGAGAGCCTGACAGGCGTCCTAGGGCCAGAGTGGAAGCTGGGACAGGCCTGCACAAGGAACACATTCCCCCTGTCCCTGCCTCACTCCACACATTTCCCTTCCCGACCTTCAGCCCTCACCCTCCGCCCTTGCTGCTGCCAAAGCCACGGCTGCCCTAACTACACTGTGTCTGCAGCCCTGGAGTCCACCAGTCACAGAATTCAGCACAGGATTCCCCACGCACCACCAGAGCATCCAAAAACATTTGGTCCAGCGGTGAAGACACTTGGAGGAACTCCAGATGCCTCACCGGAATGCCTGGGTTTTGAATCCTGGCTCCAGCTCCCTGCTTATGCACACCTTGGGAAGTGGTGTGGCTGGCTCAAGTGCTTCAGCCCCTGCCACTTACAGGGGAGACCAGGATGGTGCTCCAGGCTCCTTGCTTCAGCCTGGAGCAACCCCAGCCACCGTGGCCACTCGGGGAGTAAACCAGCAGATACATCTGTCTCTCTCTTCCTCTCCCTCTGTAACTCTTCTCATTCGAATAAATAATCTTTAAAAAAAAAAAAAAAAGCAAATGACCATAAAGTTCCCGTCTACCTAGAGCCCCGGGGAGAGCTCATCCTGGAGGGGTCAGGCCCTCTGTCTTTCTGGGAGGTCCGTAAACAGCAAATGCACCTTGTTGATGATTAAGTTTGCCCTGACGTGTAACGTGCCGTGCACAGGTGCATAGATGGATGTGTGTGTACCAGCCTGACATGTGATTGCCATGCACAGGTGCATAGATGGATGTGTGTGCACCAGCCCTGACATGTAACATGCCGTGCACAGGTACATAGATGGATGTGTGTGCACCAGCCCTGACGTGTAACATGCCGTGCACAGGTACATAGATGGATGTGTGTGTACCAGCCTGACATGTGATTGCCATGCACAGGTGCATAGATGGATGTGTGTGCACCAGCCCTGACATGTAACATGCCGTGCACAGGTACATAGATGGATGTGTGTGCACCAGCCCTGACGTGTAACATGCCGTGCACAGGTACATAGATGGATGTGTGTGTACCAGCCCTGACGTGTAACATGCCGTGCACAGGTACATAGATGGATGTGTGTGTACCAGCCCTGACGTGTAACATGCTGTGCACAGGTACATAGATGGATGTGTGTGTACCAGCCTGACATGTAACATGCTGTGCACAGGTGCATAGATGGATGTGCGTGTACCAGCCCTGACGTGTAACATGCCGTTCACAGGTGCATAGATGGATGTGCGTGTACCAGCCCTGACATGTAACATGCCGTGCACAGGTACATAGATGGATGTGCGTGTACCAGCCCTGACATGTAACATGCCGTGCACAGGTGCATAGATGGATGTGTGTGTACCAGCCCTGACATGTAACATGCCGTGCACAGGTGCATAGATGGATGTGTGTGTACCAGCCCTGACATGTAACATGCTGTGCACAGGTACATAGATGGATGTGTGTGTACCAGCCCTGACGTGTGACTACTGTACACAGGTGCAAAGACAGATGTGCGTGTACCAGCCCTGACGTGTAACATGCTGTGCACAGATGCATAGAAGGAGTCAATCACTTGGTGTCCCAGGCCCCGTTTCAGACAGTGAGGGAATTGACTTATGTGGACATGGAGCCATGCCCACAATGTCTCACACACACCCAACCACACAGAGGAATTTTGCCCACTGGTAAAAAGTCAG